TGTGTGTGTGTGTGTGTGTGTACCTGTTTTTCTATTCTGGTGGGGACTTAAACCTGAATACACACAGACTCATGGGGACTCATGTCACGGTGGGGACCTAAATTGAGGTCCCCACGGGTAAACAAGCTAATAAATCACACAGAATGAAGTTTTTTTTTAATCTAAAAATGCACAAGGTTTCCTGTGAGGGGTAGGTTTAGGTGTAGGGTTGGTGTAGGGCAATAGAATATACGGTCTGCATATGGAGAGTCCCCACAAGGATAGCAAACCAGACATGAGTGTGTGTGTGTGAATATTGTTCACATTCCTACCTTTTTATTCAAAAACTAAAATAACTCTCAGGGTTTTCTCTCACAAATACACACAGTGTCCCTAAAAATGTTTTTGCACACTTTATATCTGAATGTCATTGCATTAGGTAACAAAATATCAAAGCAAGTGGCATCTGTGCTTTTCTGAACCTTTTTGTGCAACTGTTGGTTTGATGAATTAGATTAAGGTAGTTCTTCACATTAAATATGAACATGTTCCATTAATGTCTGACAACTGGACAGTGACAAAAGCTTTAATTTTAACTGTATATCTACTGTTTCTTTTTTCATTTTTGTTCAGACAAAAGTGTGTTTCTAACATCCATTCAAGTGTGAAGTGTCCAAATATGTTTTCGGGCAACACGCTTGCTCTCTCTTCGTACACATACTTATCCTTTACCCTTTCTATTTTTTCATGTCTGTCTCTCTCCCTCTGTCCCGTCTGGGCGTGTGGATCCGCCCCTGCTTAATTTTTATCATTTCATCCTTTCTGAATTTCCTGACTACAAAAGTCTGTCTGACATTGCTCTCTCAGTCTCAGCAGGGGAGCGGGGAATATCTCAAGCCAGCTACACAAAGGGAAAACAGGGGCCCCCATTACTCACCAGGACAGGTCAGTTTGTAAATTCCCAACAACGACTCCTGAAGATTACCATGGGTAGTCTCGCTTTTGAATGCACCCTGAAAGAGGATATAAAGAAAACACGAGATTGTCAGAAACAGGAGGTTGAACATGGTGAGACATGATGAATTGTGATCAAATGCCACTAGAAATACTGTAAACTGGAACTGTAGCTTTACTTGTGAACTTGTAAGTCATTTGTGGGTGTTTTTTTCTTGACTGTTGAAATTAATTCAGAACTTACTGCACAGGAATATAACAGTCATTCTTGTTTTCTTGGTACGTGCTATTTGGCCTACTACAAAAAATGACTCCATTGCCGGCCGGAGAAGTGGTTTTGCACAAATTCTAGAGGTTATAACTGCTCTGATAGATGTATTTTGTATGTGTATTTTGTGTACGATGACATAAAGGAATATTGTATGCTTATGTTTGTCTTATTTCTCATTTCTGCGCATTTACACAATGATTTGAGCTCCAGTTTGGATACATTTTTACCTCTTAAAGCAAATTCATAAAGGCTAGTTCTGTCTATTGTTTTTTTTTTCTTTTTCTCTCCCTTTGTTTGTTTGTTAAGGGCTTTAAAATAGGTCAAGCCTTTAAAGTTTGAACATCCAGTTTTGCACCGAAATGTATGGCTACTTCTGTATGTGTATATGTGTGTGATTATTACTAATTCTGCAGCTTTTTGTTTTTGATGTTTGTGTTTGAAACTATTGTCTCGTGCAGGGTGAAGTCTTAATATGAATCCGTCATTGTTGCTGTACTGTCTGCTGCTCTGTTTAGCCTGCTGTGTTATGGTACACACACACATGATTATGGAGGAACAATACAGCTCCAACCAAACAACCATCAGCTTACAAGCAAATAACCAAACAGATGCACCTTCCGTGCTCATAGTTGGTAAGGCTTCTTTCTCCTACAGAGAAACTATACAAAACAAATGATGATGATTCTTAATTATGAACAGTAAAAGGAAATTGCTTAAAAACGGTTAACAGAAACTTCTAGCCAAGTGCTAAGGTTGTTTAATAATTCATATCAGTATCATTCTCCATTTTACACTTCTATATGTTACTAATAGAAACTTTCAACTTGATGTATGTTCAGATTTATTTGTTTTCCGTTATCGAAGGGCTTTCAAAAACACCTAAGAAGAACAAGAAAATGGAAAAGAAACCAAAAAAGGTTTGTAAAGTTAGATGTCATATTCATTTATGGTTACCGCTTTAATACATTTGATTTAATTACATTTAATACATCAGATTTAATGATGAGAAGCTGCAAAAATCACAAAAATATTTCAGTTCGGGTGTTTAATTTAGTTTATGGTGATTTAAAATATGTTTAAAACTAGTATGCTGATAATAAAAAATGTACAAACTGTTCCACATATTTTATTCAGTCTACAATCTTGTATTAATACTAACACATTCTAATTTCAGGATGATACAATTTATTATTTATTTATTGATCTATCTATCTATTTAGGAAAATATAGATATATGTTTATTCAATATATCTATAGATTTTAAATAGCTATATTGGGTTTATTAGGCTACAGCATTCTGTGGTGGAAATTACATTTTAAATGTGTTTTGGTTTAATATGGTATGCTGATAATTCCATAGCTTGCATTTTACACAATTAACATTTTCCCCGTTTTAAAATAGGACCAAATTGATCGGATATTACGTGATATTTAGTTACCTGGATCTTTGTTTTCTGCACACATCACGCGTCAGGCTCTTCTCTGGCACTTTTGTCTCCTTGGTAACCAAATACAGGGACTTTCGATCAAAGTTTATTTACAGACACATTAGTCGGTCGTGGTGAAAATGATGCCTACTACTTATTTTTAATAACACATATAAAGTGCCAGAAGCTAAAGAACCACACATGAACGTAAACCTTCATTTGGTATGTTTCAGAAATTCAGCAACCGTGTGAAGAGACCTCCGCCGCCGCCGAACTGCGTCCCGCTCTGGAGCAGCTGCAAGACGCCGAACGCGGTGTGCTGCGACCAGTGCGCCTTCTGCCGCTGCCGCCTGTTCAAGACCGTCTGCTACTGCCGCATGGGCTACCCGAGCTGCTGAACACCCCCATGGAGGATGCTGGGACTGTCCCGAAATTAACGGCGTGTTTATAAAACCCTGTGGGATTACGACAAAACTGAGTATCAGTGCGCTCCATCATATAATCGGAGATTTCCTGGCCAGATATAGGCTACCGACAGTCAGAAGCGCGTGGGAATAAAGGAGAGCCACCTTGGTGATTACCCAAGTACTTTAAACCAATTTTTAATGAATTATTAATCTAGCTATTTTAAAATGTTCATATTAATGAAAATAATTTTCACTTTACGTTGTAAGCACTTTATGGAAAAAAAATGTTAAAGCGTCCGGTTCTGACCTGTAACCTGTTTGAGCTGCTATAGACAGTAAAAGGAATCGGCCAAAAAAATAAAAATCACCATGACAACCAGTTACCAAATAGCTGACGGTGTTTACAATAAAACCGTTAAGACTCTCAACAACAAATAAAACAAAACACAAATAATTATGTAATTCAACAAAACGACAGAATCCAAAAGCTTATTTAATAAGACTATTTTACAGAAAGCAAACACAGTTTTGGCGAACTTAGGCTATGTCATAATTTGGTGAAGACTTTGGTTGTAATGGTAATTGTTATAAATTAATGGGGAATGTTTGGGTTGAAACAAACTAAACTAAATGAGTATAGTTATTGGGACGATTTTAAAAAATGTACGTTTCTGTACATTAATGTACAGAAAATTGTAGATGCAATGTCTATCATTATTATTGATTCAAGCATGAATGAATCGAGACCAATTTCCGATTTACTTAGTTAAAAACGCGGGAGAAACGTTGCAGAATGTCGCGCTTTTAATTGTACAAATTCAAAAATAACATTACGTAACAGTAACATAAGATTAAAACAATTAATAATTATACGTGTAATTTGTCTACTGAATTCTGATTTATGAAAATGCCCTTGCTAGCTTTTTTTGACCACTGTCAAAAATCATGTGACAACTTGACCGAGTTTTATTCTTTTAGTTTGGAGGCCAGAATTCCCCCAAAATATTCTCATTAAAGATTTTAAACCAACATAATAAAACAAGCTTTAGTTTTTTGTTTATTTTCCTATAGCCTACTGAGATAAATGTTATAGAAGTAAGGTCTCGCTGTCTGTCTGTGTCTGTGTGTGTGTGTGTGTGTGTGTAGCCTACGTGTTTTTCTATCCCGGTGGACTTAAACCTGAATACACACCGAATCGACTCGTGCCACCGTGAAGCCTAAACTGAGGTCCTCATGGGCAAACAAGCTTATAAACAGAATAAGGCTTTTTTTTTTTTGAGAATGTAAAAATGCAGAAAGTTTTCTGTAGGTGTAGGGCGATAGAATATACGGTTTGTACAGTATTAAAACCATTACGCCTAGAGAGTTCCCACAAGGAGAGTAAACCAGGCGTGTGTGTGTGTGTATATATATTCCTCTAAAGCTTACTTGTGGTGCAGGGCTTTTTCTCAAATTTCAGCCAATGAGTGATTTCACTGCATATGTAATGGTAAGAATAATGCAAACCTTTTTAAAATCCTTCTATGGAAACAGCAAGACAGCAGGCCTCGTGACAGAAACAAGACTTTGAGATTAAAAGGCATACCTTAAATTAACTTTATAATAAAAAAATTAAAAAAAATTATTATAATACATATTATTATCGCTTGTACCTATGCTATTAAAATCAACGTGAAGAAAAATGTGTATTTTGAGTACTTCAGTGAAAACTATTTTTTTCCACTTCAGTCACAATCTGTGACTACCAAGTGAACCATTTCTAAAGTCGTTAATATAAACAATTTCTACATGTAGTCTGTAATTTAATGAAGTCATAAAACTGCATGCATAAAGAAAAAAATATATAAAAATGTTAAATGTGTAAATGGTTTTAACTGAAGTTAAGCATGGCACACCACTGAGTATCGCATCCCAAAAGGTCTTAGTTAAAATGTCTTCCTTTAAAGACAACTGATTATGCAAAGCAAGATCAAAGTGTAAGGACACCATTTCCAAACACCTCAAATAATTATTGGTTCAACACGGGTAATAAAACACCCATTCAAACACACGCACAAGGTGACACCAAAGGCTCCAGACGCCACAGCTGGTTCATATTGAAAGGAAGCAATGGGTGAGAGAGGAGGAGAGGAAAAAGAGAAACTCAAAAAGATAGGCACTTGTTATGTCTCTCAGGGGACACTTTGCAGGCATTTTAGGGGTCCAGTACATCTAATGGCCTACAGACTATTGTTTTACCCCACAAACACTAACTACACCATTTTACCATTTCCAACTAATAAGGGCCAAATTAGATTGAAGCCATCTGTATGGCGGCTTGAATTACTAAGGCATTGCTTATCTATGGAATAAACCAGTTTGGGTTCATTAGTTACTCAATGAGACCCAGTACTGATTTTATGGATGTAGGCCCGGTCCTGACAGCAGTTCTGCTATTTTTCATGGCTCCTCTCAGACTCTTTGTGTTTCCGACCGCACATAGTGGCCTCGTTTTTCATCGGGGAGTTGTCATTGTCACAAGTCTGTCAGTGAATGCCTGAGCATGATGTTTTTATCAAGGAATCATTACAGGACACAAGTGGAATGGTTTTAATTTCATATGTTTTGGCTTGTGATATTAAAATTATTTATGGGAAATGTCATAACTCAAATGCTGTGAAGATTCTTGAAACCGCTTCACATTCTGTTTAACTATTGTAAAAATCAAGATCTGCAGGCCAAAATCCTAGTGCAGTAAGTCATTTCAGGAGTATGCGATACGGTTAGTTTACCCTAAAATTCTAGTCGTCATCATTTTCTTATTCAGTGTCATTTTACTTCTCTACAGAAAAAAAAGAGAGAAAGTTATTTTGAATGTCAGAGGGGACCAAACAACATTAGACTCCAATGGCTTTTAAAAAAACATTGTTACAATTCAAAATATCTTCTTTTTGTGTTCCAGAGAAAATCATAGTCTTAGAAAAACACGAGAGCAAGGAAATGATGATAGTATCGTCATTTTTGGGTGAACTATCCCTTTAAGTTCGCATTAAAGCTTTTTTTTTTTTTTTTTTTAAACAGCCACAAGAATGACTTCAGGTTGCCAAGATGACCTGAAATAACATTTTAAGAAACCACATAATTCTGACATTTTACAACAATTATGAAAGAAAAAAAAAGTGCATATTCAACCCAAACCCTTTTTTTATACATAAATGGTCAACTACAGGAATCATATTGTTCTTTCAATTCTCAAAACATTAGACAACAACTAGAGTTTACATTTACTGAAGTAAACGTGAGCAGTGTTTGTCTGTGCAAAACCCACTGCCTTGATGCAGGCTGTTGCTAAGTTTCTTTATAGGGTGTCATGCAGTTACCAGTATTATTTTAGCAATATTTATATAGTATTAAGTAATATTTTGAATTAGCTTTTTAATTTTTTATTATTAATTTGAATCAAATCAATTATATACTCATCATATTTAGTAGATTTTATTTAGTTTTAATTTTTTCATTTCAGTTTTGGTTTTAGTAATTATTCTAGTTCGAATTAAACTTGCTTCAGTAAGTTTCAAGTCAATATTTCTAATCTTCATTTAAGTTTTTCCATCTAATATATTTTATTTTAGCTTTATTTCAGTTAACAAAAATGATTTTGAAGTGCTTTAGTTAACAATAACACTGGCAGTTACTAGTATGCTCCGTTTGGTTATGGCATTGGTTAATTGCATTGCTTACTATACCTCGAGTGGAAAAAAACATCCCCCAAATCTCTGTAAGATCCCAAGACAGAGCTAGTAAAGACATTTTTGTTCATTTAATCAATTATCATATTCATTTGAGGAATCATTTATGTCTGTAACAAAACAACTGAAGTTTAATACATGGCTTAGGAGTTCATTCAGATCCTTAAGCTCATGTATGAGCAATAGCAATATTGATAAATTGCTACTCATTTTTCTGGATGTGACCAGGTGAGATCCACAGTCTCTTAATGATGGGCTGAAATGAAGGTTTAACACCTGAACAAGTTAGTCAAACACCACATTTATTTCATCAGGTCTTCACGAGTGGATGTAATAAAACAGGACAAGCTACCCAGACCCACTCAAACTCACAGCCTGCTAACAGAGAAATGATACTTTTTTTTTCCATAGTGTCATTACTTTGATGGGTTTACAAAAGTATGCATGGCCAAAACGGGCTCTATTAATAGTTACCTAACAAACTGGAATCACTTCAAAGTAAGACATGGCAGAACCAAACTGTCCCAGCATGTTCATTTATTGAGGGGCATCAAATAACTGACCTAATGGAAGAATTATGTGTTTTAACATAACCGTATAATAAAACAGGGAATGCAAACGAGACGGTGACAATGTGTTCACAAGTTAGCGTTGCACTCGATATCAATGCAAAAAGGTGTTGGTGAGAGCTCGCAGGCACTCGTGATGAGACTGAGACACGATTAAGCACTATTATAGCCGTAAAGGTAACTGGCACAGCTGCTAATGATCGTGTAGTCCGTCCTCATCCACAGCTGAAGCTGCGATTGGTCAAAGCTACTTAGTAGCGGTAGTGGTCCGCTTTGAAGGGACCATCGCAGGGCAGACCCAAATATTTGGCTTGCCTCTCTGTCAGTTTAGTCAGTTTGACGCCAAGCTTGTCCAAGTGTGCGGCAGCCACCTCCTCATCCAGCTACACATGCACAAAGGACATAGTGAGGAATAAATGCATCTCATATATTCTGATAATCATCGGTTAAGCTTCCCTGCTTCGATCTGCATGCTGTTTTTAAGTAAGCTTGCAAACCTTTTACACTCTTAAAATCACAAGACATTCATCAATAATGTGCATATTACTGGACAATACCATCTGTAATAAAAGTCTACACAAAGCTACTGTACCTTCTTTGGCAGGAAGTAAACACCCAGTGGGTATTTGCTGGTGTTGGTCCACAGCTCAATCTGGGCAAGGACCTGGTTGGTGAATGAGTTGCTCATCACAAAGCTCGGATGGCCCATGGCACAGCCCAGGTTCACCAGACGCCCCTCAGCCAAAACGATGATGTGACGGCCATTTTTCATGCGAAAACGGTCCACCTGTATAAAAGAGCGGAGAGTTAGCCAAAGTCAGATCAGAGTTGACCATCATGGGTCAGAAAGCAGGGCATTCAAAAGCCATTCACAATAAGACCTGGACTGTTTATTTAGAAAACAAATGTTGTCAGTTTTGAATTCATGGCATTTTTTAATTTGCATTTGAATTCAAATTTTAAGTAGGATTTCCCAACTAGGGGTTTGTGATGGATTAGCAAGCGAGCAAGCAATTTATTTATTTATAAAGAACAAACAACACTAGATGAACATTGTGCTGTATAAAAACAATGTGACCCTGCACCACAAAACCAGTCTTAAATCGCTTGGGTATATTTTTAGTAATAGACAAAAAAAAAAACATTGTATGGGTCAAAATTATTGATTTTTCTTT